TATATATATATATATTATAGGCTACATCAGAATTCTTAATGATTAAGCTTTGAAGTATGTAGGTGGTTTTAGGATGGTTTGATATGGATTTTTTCATGCTAATTCTCCATGCAGTGGATGGAAACTTCAGTCTTATCAGTATGTCTAGTCAGGAACAGACATTTTCATCTTGCCGGCATGAGCAAGTTTAAATCAGGAGTTTAGGTGATGCAGAGGTTCAGCACTTAGCAAGACTGTTATATGAAACTGCATTTTCTCATACATCTGGACAGACCACCCTCATATTTTCATTAATAACAGCATAACCTCTGGCCTTGTCATAATTACATCTGCATGTGATTTCTCCTCTGGCTCTCTTCAGCTCTTTGTAAAATTATATGTTAATGTGCATTCCATCAGAATGTGTACAGAAATGACTTGAGGAGCATATTTCGCTCTTTTTGTGTTTACTATTAAAAAAGGAATTTGTGGCTGGACATATTTGAATCATTTTTTAAAATAGCAAGTAGATTTTAGTTTGCATTACAGGCTTTTTTTTTATTAGACAGTTTGTATATGCCCATTCTATATTTATTGTCTGTTTTGTACATTTTAAATGCATACTAAGTCAATTCTCAATTCTAATGGTCTCATGGTCAAATCAGGTCTCATGAAGCAAAAAAAAAAAGACACAAATGAGATAATTGTTGACATACAGTAAGAATATACAGCTATAAATTATAATTGGTATTGCCACATTGAGATTGATGACTTTTGATTGCAGACTTTGGTATCTTGGTGAATTTGAGCATAGTTTGAGACATTGTTGAGATCTCTTCTCAAACGCTATGGAGACATGTGCAATGTTACTGAGGTGTTTTTCTCAGACAGGAGAACCCGGAGACCAGGAAATCTCCCTTTTCTCATTTAATCTCATTGTTGTGTTGAAGAAAACTGATGCCACAGATTTTGTAATTTCTCTTTTTCTTGTTTTTGAAAAAGTAATATTCAGACGAACAAAACACATCTCTTCAAGTGTATGTCAAACTTAGTTACAGACAATGCTTTTCATATGCTAATCAGCAGTCAGGGTTTAAAATGAATATGTCTCTGTCTCATTGGCACTAATCGGTTGTATAATCTGGGTTAGTACAGGGGTTACTGGATAAAGAAATACCCTAGTTACCATATTCCCCAATGGCCACGAGCACCGTTTCAGCAGTTATCAAACATTTAGAAGTGCATTTTAAAAGTCTGTTACATGAATTATTGCTGCGGCAAGAACAAAATCATTAATATTTCATGTAGGGGTTGAATGAACAGAACTGACCCAATAGTCATGCTATCGAACGATGACAACAAACCTAAATTCACCTGCTTAAAAAAATATCCTTAATGTAGTTAGTTATTGATGTATTTACTAAATTTAGTGAATGTATGCAATTAATGTTTAAATTTACTTTTATTAATTATAAACATATATTTAGAGGTATTTTTACATTAAATATTAACATTTTACATTAAGTTAACCCTTACGTTTACATGGTCTTTTTGTAAATGATTTTTTAGTGCATATATTCAAATAAAAAAGTCCTAACATTTTTCACATTGAGCATTCTGTTTCACTGGGAAATAGGTTACGTAATGGAAATAAAATCCTAATACATTTGGTTGCTAGTGTGCTTTTTGGTGGTTGTTGTGGAATTTTAGGTGGTTGCTATATTACTATGCAATAGTTCACCCAAAAAACTCAAATTTACTTATCTAAAATGTTTCTTCATCAGATTTTGAGAAATTTAGCATCACATCATTTACTCACCAGTGGATCCTCTGCAGTGAATGGGTGACAAAACATCATAATAATCCAAAAGTAATCCACACGACTCCAGTCCATCAATTAACATCTTGTGAAATGAAAAGCTGCATGTTTATGAGAAACAAATCCATCATTAAGTCGTTTTAACTTTAAACCGTCACTTTTGGCCAAAATATGAGTCCATAGGCTAATCTATAATAATGCTTTCTCCAGTGAAAAAGTCCATCCCCTGTTGTCCTTTCACATCTAAATCAACCCACATATTTGTTACATTTAGTGGTCGACCGATATTGGTTTTTTTGACAGCCGATGCCGATATCTTGGAAAGCAGGGTGGCCGATGGCCGATATAAAGCCGATATAACTTTTTTTATAACGATTTTATTTATTTTAATTAATATTTAAGAAATTTTAAATAATTTGAAAATAGATTAAAAAAATAAATGTGTAAAATAAACATACTTATACTTTAAATGACAAAGTATTTTTCACAAATAAATAAATATTTAATAAAAATATAATTAAAAAGAAGTAAACACTGTAACCAACAGAGCACTCAGTATTCTGGGAAGTTTGTGTG